TCTGCTGCGGGCGCGGCCACCAGTTCCTTGCCTGACTTGCCCACCCCCGCATTTGGGGGCGAGGGCGAGGACGCGGGCTGCCTTGATGATGGCCCCGAGACTCCACCAGGTCTCCTTCCTGTTCTGGCTCTCATTTCTCTCAGGCGGTCATTCTCGTTCGGCGGAAAGAATTCGGGCGGGTCGTCGCCCGGCTGGGCAGCACTGGAACCGCCCGCGAGCTGGCCCGCGGCGCTGAGGGCCCGGGCCAGGGGGGCGCCCCCAGGAGAGCGTCCCCGACATTCGGAATCATGCATCACATGATTTTCCCTGAGGAACTTCCCCGGGCGATGATCCGCGGGACATTGCATCTAGTCGTCTTCGAAGTTCATAATCTGTATATCTTTCAACGCAGCGAAACCTGCCTGAGTCTCACACATGCCTCCCCGCGATCGGGGCGCCGTGGAACTGCGGACGCACGCGCGTCGGATAAGTTCCACGGTCGGCAATGATCCGATGCTTCCTGAGACGCGCTGTTTCCTTCCGTTCAGATAAACGGGCGGATGTTTTCAGAATACGCCCAGCGCTTGGTTCTCCGATGCCCCGATCAACGGAACACCACTGACAGATATCGGCTTCTGACCAGCACGGCCCAAGCACCGTCGCATCTCATCTTCTGGCATCTCCATACGCGAACCCCATTCGTCGCGGCAAAGCGAGGCGCGGCCCCTGCCATCGCGCGCGCGGCCCCTGCCCTTCCAGCCCGTTTACCCCCTGCCACAATTTGAGCTCCGACTTCTGGAGCTGCTGCCCGTGGCCGGGCCAGCCCCGACGGGGGCCTGTTGGCCCCTCATCAGAAAGGCACTCGCAGTAGTCTGACCCTGCCCCGCTGCCGCCAGCTCGTCGGCGGCAAAACCAAAAATGCTGGCGACGGCCAAAGAAACACGCCCACTCTGCTCGAGTCCGCTGGCATAGAGCCGGCCCCCTCCCAGCGGCAAGCATGGCAACCGCCTGGGGAACGCGGTCGGACTCGCTCTCGCGGCGGGCGGAGTCATCGCGCACGTGGCCGCGCAAGGAAATGAATGCCGAGCCAGTCCTGCATCGGCGCGTGGAAATTCTCGTTGGCGCCGCCGTAGAAGTCGTCGGTGTATCTCTCGGCGGCCGCTGCTGCATCTGCAAGCCCTGCCCTCAAGATCCAAGCTGCACGCGGGGTGCGAGAAGGGTGATCGAGCCCTTGGATATCAACGCAATCCAGATTGTCATCCCATTCTGCTCCAAGCCAACTAGTACGCAACCGTCGCCCGCTTCCCCTTTGCGCAGTGCGCCTGGAAGCGTCTGTCAATGCCGCCAGCATCGCATGTCATTACATGGGCGTCTGTGTCGATTGGGTCTAGCTCAAACCCCTCGCCTCTCCCAGCGATCCGTCTGAGGCCCGAGCCCTCGCCTCTTCCACCGAGAAACAGTCAAAGTCATGATCGGTAAAATTAGTTAGGAAAAGCGCCCATTGCCTGCCCATACCGTGCGAATGCGCCCGCCACCCTCACCGCAACCCGTGCCCATACCCTCGTCTGAGCCCCCCAACTGGCCCAAGTGAAGCCCAAGTACAGATATTGCGCTGCTGCCGGACATCGCCAGCGGGCAGATCCGACCAGCCGATCTCAGCGACACCTGCGGATGAGCAGGTGGCTGCAGTGGTTCCTGAAACGAAATGCGGGTCGCGGCGCCGGTCGGATGACACAAATGAAGGGGCCCTGGGACGCACAAATAAAACCCAATGGATTCCCCATATTTTCCCATATGTTCCGGGTTTTCGTCTTCCCCCGCACTTCTCATATTTTCCCATATTTTCTGGGGAATCGAGGATGAATTGTGTCTGTGTTTCTTTGCCTCCTGAACACAAGGTAATCACAGTGGGTGGTGAGCTGCCGGTTGCAACTGCGGCCGACCGATTGTCGGAAGGGCCGGCTGCCCGCGCACGGCCAGCCTCATGACCGAGAAGCGCCACGGACCCATCGGGCCCCTAATTGACTACCTACCAGACCACCCCAACCCGACCCGAAGACCCGAATTTCGGGCTGGGGGGGGCAAGGGTTCCACGCGTGTTTTTCTATGTTTCCCGACCCCCATCCACTAGAAACCGAATGTAAATCTGAGCCTTCGGGTTGGGTTGGGGTGGTTTGGCGGGCGGTGACTCATCGCCCAAGATCCTGCCAGGCGCGACCGCCGATACGTTGCTTGCGTCGGCACGGGAAAGCCCCGGCAACACGACCACTGAAGGCCCCGGCAGTGTTTAGCACGGCGCTCAGCTGCGTGTCCGCAGCTGCGAATCCGCTCCAACAGTTGGTCGTACTTTTGCTGGGTTCGGGGCATCTGGCGATCGTGGCGCGGCAGTAGTTGCGAAGCTCGGGAGGCGCCTACTCCTGGAGCCCGAAGCAGCAGGAGCGTCAACATCTGGGAACAAAAGAAATTAGGTCCAGCCGAATCCGCTTCCAGCCCGGCCATCTGGAGTCAGGCAGAAACCGAATCGGCGCGCCCACCTCATCCGACCCTGAAGTCGACGAGGGCCGGTATGACGCGAGCTGTCGCTCGCCCTCCAGGCCTTCAATCTTGATGATTGGGAGCAACATAGGGTATGTAGCACCCTAGGTACGATCACACTATGGGGCTACACCGTAATTGATGATCGAGGACAGCACTCCCACGCCCGGGGACCTGGCTAGGCCTCCAAGGCCTCGCTGCACGGCGGCAGCATGTGTAGGCGGAGTCAAAGCTCCACGCGTCACGTTGAGCCACGCTTGTACTTCGTGAACAAGTTCGCGGAATGGTACGTGGCCAGCAAAACTCCCAGAAAAGGCCCCCTGGCGCGCGTTTCGTCAATCCTCCGATGAATTCGCTCTATAGCCAGGCCAAAACACACCCATACGATAGAAAATCGAACGCGTTGGTGTTGGTTGTGTCCTGGTCATCGTGCTCGTGGACTTAGACGTCCGTCAGCCTGTCGTCATTGTGGGCTGACGTGGTCGTCCGCTTTCGGACTGGCAGGGCACGCGTTGTGTCCGCGCTGCGGTAGGTTGCCATTCCAGGAGGAGATGGCACAGGATAGACAATATAAATTGGTGCAGAGCCGTGGCATACACGTGTCGGCCCATTACCGCGGGCAGTTGCACTGCGACGCGCAGGCTAAAATCCTGGCTCCGATCCCCGAAAGGACACGGCGCAGTCGGATGCTCCACCATAGAGACTGCCCACCATTCTGCGCCGTGGAATACCGCAATGAATCTCAGAGCCAGCCACGCGACGACCATCCCAGATCCGCTGCCAAGTCGAAGGAGGCATGGTACACCGTGCCAGACACAACGCCGTAGGCTTTCCATCGTATCCATACCTTATCCAGACAGTAGGTATGAGCGAGTGGGTGAGAGAACGGCATGCGAAAGCTCGAAGGGGCCCCAAAGGAGCTCCAAGAGCTGCCGAACAGACTGTCACGCAAAGCCGCGCTGAACGAGGAAACGCTTTGCGCTGAATTGTTGCTAATTTTGAAACCCTTTGGGGGCCGTCTCGGGGTTCTCTTGGGACGTATTGGGCGCCCCCAGGGCCATCTTGGACTGCTCTCGAGGGCCTCGTGGGCCGTCTTGGTGCGGTTTTGGGGGGCCCCGGGGACGTCGCGGAGCGTCAGAAGCTGGAAAAAGCGAGAACTTCAAAAACATCACAAAAACCCAGGAGAGACAATTACTTTTGCCTCGTGGGGCCACGTATGGGGGCTTATTCAGAAAGAGGGCTCGCGCTGTCGTGTCGGGGTCCTGCCCTTAGGTCCTTCTCGGGGACGCCTCGGGCTCTTTTTGGGCCGTCTTTGGCGCTTATGGCGCTGTTTGGGGGCCCTCTTGGGCCGTTTCGGGGCCCTCTTGGGCCGTCTCGGGGCCGCCTCAAGGGCCTCTCTCAAGGGCTCTTAAGCCGTCTCGAGACTGTCTTGGGGGCCACCCAAAACGTCGCGGAGCGCGGGAAGCTCGAAAAAGCGAGAATCTGCAGAACATTGAAAAACTCATTGTGAATCAATGGTTGTTGGCCCTCTGGGCTTTCCAGGGAGCGTTCGTCGAGTCCTCTTGGGCCGCCTGAAAGCATATTGAAACGTGTTTGGCGCCTGTGAGGCCCTCTTGAGGCCCGTCTTGGGACGGTTTGGGGGGGCTCTGGGGACGTCGTCGAGCTCCGGAAGCTGGAGAAGGCGAGAATCTCAAAAACCTTGAAAAACCGACGGAAGATCAACGATGCTTGCCTCTCGGAGCCACGCGGGGGCGCTCGTCGAATCCTCTTGGGCAATTTTGAAGCTGTCTGGGGCTGCTTGGAAGCCCCGCGGGACATCTCAAAGCCGTCTAGTGCCTTCGCGACGCCACTCAAAGCCGACCAGGCGGCTCTCGGGCCGCTGGAGAGGGCGCCCGGGGAGCCCGGTGCCCCCGCGGCAACCAGTGGCAGCTGGGATAATGCCTCGCTACATTTTATCTCGGACCCCTGAGCCACAACGTCAGCATAACGCAACTGTCAAATCTCGCCATTATGCTGTGGCCCCACACTCAACTGCACGGACTCCCCCATGGGCAGGAGCGCGTGCACCTGACCATCAAACACGTGCCCGCACGGCATCTCGTCGCCGAATCAGGCACTCAACCACAGCATCGCTGGAAGGGCCCGCAGCGCATCAGCTCCGAGCTCGCGCAGCGCAGCTCCCGGCGCTCAACGTCGGAGTGGCAGCACCCCCCAAACTGGGAGACCACCACGGAGCCACGCGCATGCCGACCCCGCACACGCTCACTCACCATAGCCTCACCTTCAGCGGTTCGCACGGGCAGCTTCGGAGTTGGATCGACCCTCCGAGCCCTTCAGCAGCGCCCGAATGCAAAGCCAAACAAACCCGCCGTCATCGCCAGCACAATCAGCACACACAGGAGGACGCTCATCATCTGACTCGTAACTATCTCCTCCCGGTTCACCTCGGCTCTCGCGATGCTGGCGAGCATCATCACCAGCAGGACTCAGGCCCCGCTGATCGCCTCGGCATCCACGCCCTTGCGCGGCGCCTCCTCACCGCGGCCCTCTAGCTCCACGAGGCCCGCGTTGTCCATGTCCGACTTGTGCGAGATCTTGCCCACGTATTTCGACTTGGGGTTGGCGCCGTTCGAGGCCCCCAGCACCTTGAAAACCGCCTGCTTGTTCTGCTCGCGCGCGTGCTGGACCCAAATAAAAATTGCGTCGACGCGCTCGAGCTCCCCTAGGCCAATCCTGCGCACGACGCCCAGCGCGGCCGAGGAGTTCACCCGAACCCGCAGAGACTTCTGCTCGCCCAGGTCGCCGAAGCCCGAAACCACTCCAAGTCCTTCAGCACGCGCCTTCACGAACCGTGCAACTCGGCCTCGCCACTCGATGGCGCCGGGCTCGCCTGGGTCACCGACCTGGCCATCAGGGGGCTCGCGCCGCCCAGCACCGCGCCGCCGCTGGCGCTGCGCCTCATCGCAAGACAGCCTCTGCAGTCGGCGCCCCCGAGCACCGTCGCCACCTCCGCCCGAGTCTGGTCCTCGAACTCCAGCGCGACCCTCGGCGCGCCCACCAGGCACCTGCCGATGTGCTTGAGCTGCCACAGGTCGGGCTCGGTTGGCGCCTGCATCGCAGGCAAGGAGCTCTTCGCCGAGTAGAGCAGGTCGAGCCTGTCGTGGGAGATGTAGCCGATCATGGCCGCCGCACCCCTGCATGTTGTCATCGCAGCTGGGGGTAGAGGCCCGGGCGCCCCCCACTCCAACTTGCCCACATCCGTTCCTGGCGTCGGCTTGGGCGCGGCACCTACCAGGCCTAACTCCGCAATCGCCGGCTCGATCTGCCAGGGGGTCGCACCCCAAGAGCAGCCCCCCCTTCTTCCAGGACGCGGGCCCGCTGAGCAGGATGCCGATCGCGTCGTCCTTCTCGTCGGGGCCGGTCGCCGTCACCGCGATATCGCAGCGCTTGCCCAGCTCCTCGGACATCAGGTCCAGCTCGGCCTCGCTGCCCTCGATGGCCACGTCGTCTCCTTGGCAGACCAGCCACGCATCCTTGTCCTCGTCGCGGAAGAGGCACGCGCTGCCCAGGCCCCCCTGCATCTTCAGGCGTTCGATCAGGTCGCCCACCAGCGCGCCCGGGATGTCCCCAGCCGCCGCCAGCGCGCCGCGCATCGCCTCGCGCAACCGCCAGGACCGACCAGCGCCTCGAAAACGCGGGGGGGGGGGGGGGCGCGCACGCTGCCACCGCGCAGCGCGCGGAAGAAGGCCCTCCTGACATCGATGATCCTCGGCTTCCTGGGCGCCCCCCTCCAGGCCGTGCCAGACCGAGCGCTCGAGCACTGCGTCCGAAACGCCCACGGAGGCGGGGCGCCCGCGAAGGCCGTCTCCCACCCAGGCTTGCCCTTCTTCATCTCGCGCGTGATCAGCCTCGCCCTCGCGCGGCGGTTCTGCGAGTCCCCCTTGTTGATCACCTCCTAGCGGCAGTCCACAGGTCGCGCACCAGTGGCGGCCCAGCAAGACTCCTGGCTCACCTCCTCGTAGACCTCGTGCTTGTCGTACCCTAGCATCTCCACCCCCATGGCCTCGTCCACCTCCAGGTCGGAGAGTGGCAGCCCAGCGATCTCTCCCACGTAAATCGATGCGAAGCTGAGCTCGGAATCGCAGTCCAAGCTCTCCTCCTCGGGCACCACGGCTAGCACCGCCCTCTCGGGCGCAGGCCCCACCTCGTCCTCGGCGGCCCCACGAGGCCGCTTCTCGTCAGTCAAGCCCATGTCGGTCGAGGGCTGCGCGGGGGTCTCCTGCGCGCCCGCGCGCGCGTCGGTCTCCTCCTTGACGCGCTGCTCCGCGATGGGCCCCATCGCCCTCGCCCGTCATCACGGCGTCGCTCGCCGAACCACCACCAGCAGACACAGGCGCGGGCCCTGCTGTCGCCTGGTCGGCCGACCCCGCAGCTCCAGACGGCCGGGCCGCCTCGGCGCCTCCCCCCAGGCAGTCGAGCTCGCGCCGCGCGCGCTCCATCCGGTCGGCGAACGCCTCGCCCAGCACCCGCGCCCTGCACGCGTCCGCGCGGGCCACTGCGCGCCCCCCGCAGGCCGCGCGGCCTGGAGCCCTCCCGAATTTGTTCAGCAGCCGCGCCGTCACGTACACCTGCCTGGGCGATGGCCGCCTGGGCGCAAGTCCAGGCGGGGGCTCGAGGGCCCCTCCAGGCGCGGCCGCCTCGATCCGCATCGTCGCTCTCGGCAGTCGGCTGCCACCCAACTCCGCGTTCCCACTCGGGGCCCAAGGCGGCGCCCTCAGGCCCAGCTCCAGCTCCTTATTCCACTGGCTCTCGAGCGGCTGCCTCTTGCAGTCACGGCGCCGCACCGCGGCTCCTTCGGAGGCCCCAATGATCACCTGCCCCGCGCGCTCGACTAGCCCCGGGAAGATCCCTGGGATGAATATGGGCCCCATCTTCGCAGCATTGCTTTTCCCGACGGGTACTGGTCTGCACCGCACCTGCTCACCGAACGCGCAGAGAGGGCGGCCCATCCGCCGCCCCCGGGCCCGCTCGTAGGGCGCCAGCCCGTCGCTGCCCACGCGCGCGATGCCGCAGAGCACTCCGCAGTGAGTGGCCAGCTACGCGATCGCTGGACAGTCGGATTCCGCCACGTGCACCATGCCCATGTCGAGCTGCGCCCTGCGGCACCTGAGCAGGCCCGCCGCCGCGCCGTTGGCGGGCCCCGCGTCGAGGTTGCTCTTGGAGCCCCTGATCGGCTTCACTTCTGGCACCAGCCTGATGCCGACGATCATAGCCATCGCCCGCTGCTTCACATTGAGCACCGCGGGCTCGCCGTCGGAGTTCAGGGCGGCCCCCGCGCGCCCGCCCAGCTCGGCGTTCGCCGCCAGCCACCACGAGGCATCACGAGGCATGAGGATGCTCGGTGGACTTGGACGGCAGCATCGTCAGCGCCAGGCGCTTGGCGTCGTCGTCGCAGTAGCTCACCGCCGCAGGAGGCCCGTCGCCACGCCGCTGCCCAGGGAAGAAAGGGTCGAAACACAGCGCGGGCATAAGTCGACCCTCACCGCGCAGTCGCAGGCGTCGGTCGGATCGCCCTCGCCCGTGCACGGATACCGAGCACGAGTCCAGATGCGGGACGTGGCTGATGCTGCGGGCTTCGATCTCCTGGGCGCCGGGCTGCCTGGGAGTCTTCCTGCGGCGGATCGCCCGTGCCCCGCCGAGCTCGACACTCGCGGTCGGCTCCTCATCCTTCACCTCCCTCCTCTCGATGGGCAGCACCGCGGCCTCCACGTCGTCGCGCACGTCGGGGTCAATGATGTCGACCTCCAGCTCGTAGATGTTTTTATGCTTGTACACGACCAGTCGCTGGCCGCTCTTCCTGTCCTCAACGCAGCTGCCGTCGTCGCCCAGAACGATCCTGCAGCCGTTGCTGGTCACGTTGCCCGTTGAGATGATCATCCCAACGGGCTGGTAGCTCTCATTGGCCATTTCGAACTCGCGCACGATAACCTCACTGTCACACACCGTCTCGAACATCACGAGCTGCGCGCCCGTCGTCTTGACCCGGCCGCCCGTCGCAGAGCGGCAGGCCGCCCCCTCGCCTCGCTTCAGCAGCCTGTTCTCCAGCCGCGGCGGGCAGAGGCAAATCCAGCAGAGCAGCAGTCCAGCAGGACTCTCTCGCGCTTGCGCCTGGTGCTCCTCATCACGGTCAGCAACGCGGTCCCAGCGTGTTCGGGGCCCTCTTCGAGCTCCTCCGTCATCGCGAGGAACCGCGGCAAGGCCGGCCCCGTGTCTCCGCTGCGCTCTAGGATCAAGGCTGGTCGATCGCCGCTCGATGCAGACGCTCCGCGCCCACCTGACGGGGGCTGCTCAGCCCTCTCGCCCTGGCTCAGAGCACTCAACTGCTTCGGGCCACCCGTGGTCTTCTCATTCCACCAGCAGTCTGCCTTCTTATGTCCGCCCTTGTTGCAGAGGTTACAGTAGCAGTCGAACTTCTCAGAGTGCTCGTCGTAGCCCTTGCTTTGTTGCCGCGCGCCTTGCCACCCCTGGGCTTGCATTTGAAGTCCATGCCGCACCTGGCTTTGCCCTCGCAGTCCTTCCCGCCTCTGGGCTCGCCTTCGGGGCCCTTGCCTTAGCCTCGCTCCAGCGCGAGGAGTCGCTGCTCCACGCCCATCGGGGCCGAGTCGACCCTCTCGGCGTGCGCGGGGTCGGCCCTCTCCTCCAGGTAAAACATCGCTGCCTCGCGCATGGCTTCGCACGCGGGGTAGCGCCCCGCATTCAAATAGAAGTGCTCGCGCAGGCTGTCGCGGAGGATCCGGCAGAAGGCGCCCGTCTTCATGTCGGGGACAAGCGTGGCCATGAAGCGTCTCTCGAATCTGCTCACAGCCACCTCCCACGCCTCGACGTTCTTCGTCACTGAACTGCCTGCCATCGGCTTCGGGATTACAACACGGTGTAGCAGCTTCAGCTTGTGGCCGCGGTTGAGCGGCTCATAGTAGGCTACGATCTCCCTCTACGCCTCTAGGCCTTCGCCTGCTGGAGCTTGCCACAGCTCGTCTAGGGCGTCGCCCTGGACCAGCAGGCTGAAGGCTGTGTAGATCTGGCCGTTGAGTCTGTGGAAGACCTCGTGGTAGTCGTCTAGGTATATGACCACGCTGCTGATCGGTTCCGCCTGCACTGCTGTCCAGCGCAGCGCCTCGACCGCCTTGGAGCCCACGCCTCCGAGAAACTCGCGGAAGGCGAAGGACCAGTCCGCCCAGTCCTTGCGAGCTCCTTTGAACTTGTCTACTCGGCCGAGCGTCTTCGTATCCACGAGTCCTGGCACCGTCTGGCTGCGCTCGGCCTGAGTGTTCGCTGCTATTCTCGTCTCCAGCTCCTGCACACGCTGCTGCAACATCGTCGCCTGGCTAGCCTGCTGCTCACCGCCACCGCCAGGATATTCAGCAGTTGCTGAACTGCCGACTAGCGCTTGCTGGAGCGCCTGGATCACTGTCGCTGGGTCCACCGCCATGGCGGAGGTCTGGCCGTCTGCCGTGGCCGTCTGGTAACGGGGCTCCGCTGCCATCGCTACATGTTGTCTCGGACCCTTGAGCCACAACGTCAGCACAACGCAGCTGTCAAATCACGCCAGTATGATCTGGCCCCATACTCAACTGTCGCCGACCCTGTACGCCTATATAAATATATACATATATATATATATGTATGTAATGTATTTCTCTCCGCTGGCCCCCCTGTGGGGCCACCAGGCCATAAGGGTAGGGTTGTTGTTCTCTGTGCCAATTCCAATTTCCAGCTTCCAATGTTACAATATTGGTTTCTGTTTCCTACTGGGAATGTTTCTTGCCCGCGCGAGGGAAGGAGCCGAAAACCACCACGGCGACAATCCCCCAGGAGGTTTCTGAGAAGTTCTGGGGAACCCTGGGTCGCGTAGGAAATACACGAGACTCGCGCCTGCGAGGCCAAGATCCCTTGCAAATTACGCCACGTTCGCGCCCCCGGGGTCAGGATCCCCCGTAAAGTATACAAGATTTGCGCCCCCGAGTCCAAAAAAACATTGAAAAACAACCCATCTCTGCGTCGCAATATTCGCGTCCCCGAGTCCATAAGCCCTCGCAAAGTATGCAGTATTCGCGTCCCTGGGGCCATAAAGCTTTGTAACTTATACAATAATAGCGCCCCCGGAGACCATAAGCCTTCTATATATATATATATATATATATATATATATACATATATATATAGAATGATTGCGTCCCCGAGGCCATAAACCCTGTAAATTCCACAACATTCGCGTCCCCGAGACCATAACCTTTCGCGAAATACACAATGTTTGCGTCCCCGAGGCCGTAAACCCTTGCAAATTACAATGCTCGCGTCCCCGACACATTAAACCCTCGTAAATTATACCATATTCGCATCCCCGAAGCCATAAACGAAAATAAGTTACGCCATATTCGCGCCTCCGAGGCCACAAACCGTTAGAAATTATACCATGGTTGCGTCCCCGAGGCCATACGCCCTTTGTAACTTCCACAAGATTCGAACCCCCGAGGCCAGGATTCCTTGCAAATTACGGCGCACTCGCGCCCCCGAGGCCTCAGTCCCTTGCAACAGACGTCGAGGAGCCCGAAGATCGCCCCAGCCGCGCGACTTTGCCCACTCTAGCGTTAAGAAGTCCCCAGTCTTTCCAAGAGGGCCTCCAATGCACAGCATGCAGGGGCAAATCCAAAATGCAACACCGAATTCCGACAATATGGTCTTTCCTGTCGACTACTTATCATCCTCGCATGAGGTTCCGACACTGCTTCAAGACGGCGTCCAAACCACACGACGTAGCTCTTGCATGATCCATTATCCGAGAGAGGGGCCCGCTGGCAGGGGACAGAGCCCTTATGTTTGCAATGTGCATGCAAATGCGCAAAATTATGTGTGTCCACATGTGTGTAAATATGTGTATGTATTCACGTCTGGACTGCGAAGCACGTCCGAGAGACGGATGTGTTGGTATGGTTGCAATTACATTACTTCCATCCCCCCCTTACCCCCCCCACCGGCCTCACCCCCTGCTGCCAGCCCCCCCCCGCCCACCGGACTTTTCCCAGCAGGCGTTCCAAGCAGTTTGGGCGCTTCATCTGGCGCCGCCGACTGTCCAGCTGAGCTCCAGAAGAGACCCGGTCTGCCCCGAAGCACCCGGGACGGCTCAAGAGAGCCCAGGACGGTCCCAAGACGGCCCAAGAGGCCTCCAAGACGGCCCAAGAAGCCTCGAAGAGGCCCCCCAAGAAGGCCCCAAGAGACCCAAATCAGTGATCTTCCATTGGGAAACATATATATATATATATATACACACAAATATACATAGATTTGTCCTGACACATTTTCTCTGCATTCGCAACGTTGACGATGGTCTGGGAGGGTCCCAAGACCGCCCCAAGACGGCCCAAGAAGCTCCCCAAAGGCGCCCAAAACGGCACATGACGGCGCCAAGACGGCCCAAGAACCTCCCAACACGACCCACAAGGGCCCCAGCACGGCCCCAAGACGCCCCCAGTAAGGGGAGTCTCAACCGAAACTCCGAGCTTTCCGCCCCTAGACGGCCCCAGAACACCCCCAGAGGCCCCCAAAAGGCCCGAAGGATGTCTCCAAGAGGCTCGCAGAAGGCCCCAAGAGGCCCCAAAACGGCTCAAAAACTGCGGATGCTTCGTGCCACCCCCGCCTCTCCGGACGTGGTGCCGCGAAGCGTTGTGGATAAACGTGCATGCATGCCTGTATGCCTGTATACCTGTATGCATGTACGCCTGTATGCCTGTATGCATGTATGCATGTGTGCATGATTGCATGCATGTATGCATGCATGCATGTATGCATGTATGCATGTGTGCATGAATGCATGCATGCATGTATGCATGTATGCATGTATGCATGTATGAATGTATACATGCATGTGTGCATGTATGTATGTATGTATGTATGCATGTATGCATGCATGTATGTATGTATGTATGTATGTATGTATGGATGTATGTATGTATGTATGTGTATGTATGTATGTATGTGTGTATGTATGTGTATGCATGTATGTACGCATGCATGTATGGTATATGTATGCATGTATGTAAATATGTGTGTATGTATGTATGTATGTGTGTATGCATGTATGTATGTATGTATGTGTATGTGTGTATGTGTGTATGGATGTATGCATGTGTGTATGTGTGGTTGTGTGTATGCACGTATGTATGGATGTATGTGTATGGCTGTGTGCACGTGTATATGTGTATATGTGTGTATGTGTATGTGTGTATGTGTATGTGTATGTGGATGTGGATGTGGAGTGTGTGTGGGTGTATGTGTATGTGTATATGTATGTGTATGCGTATGTGTATGTGCATGTGTATGTGTATGTATGTATGTATGTACGTGTATGGATGTACGCATGTATAGATGTGTGTATGTGTGTATGTGTGTATGTATGTGTATGTGTACATGTGTGTTGGAAATGTGTGTATGTGTGTATGTATGTGTGTGCATATGTGTATGTATGTAAGTGTGTATGTATGTGTGTAGGGTTGTATGCGTCTCGCGCGCGCTTAGGTTCTAGAAAGCTCCTGCTCTGGGCAGTCCGACCACTGCGTACAGATGCATAAGCACTCATGTGACGCGAAGGGTTACCTGGCTGGAACGTGGCGTGAAGAGGCATGAATAACGCGGACTGAGCAAAGACAATTATTATCCCGGCAAAGCAACCTAACAGCGATGTGTAGGAGCATATCTGGAAGCATTCCCCTTAAGATTCAGATGAGAATCCAGTTGTAGAATTCTGCTGTTCTCGCAGTCGTAGTCGCATTCGCGATGACAGTCGCAGTGGCAACGGCAGTCACAGTCACAGCCTCAGCCTCAGCCTGCCTCAGCCTCAGCCTCAGCCTGCCTCAGCCTCAGCCTGCCTCAGCCTCAGCCTCAGCCTGCTTCAGCCTCAGCCTCAGCCTCAGCCTCAGCCTCAGCCTGCCTCAGCCTCAGCCTGCATCAGCCTCAGCCTCAGCCTCAGCCTGCCTCAGCCTCAGCCTGCCTCAGCCTCAGCCTCAGCCTGCCTCAGCCTCAGCCTCAGCCTGCTTCAGCCTCAGCCTCAGTCTGCCTTCAGCCTCGGCCTCAGCCTCAGCCTGCCTCAGCCTCAGCCTGCCTCAGCCTCAGCATCAGCCTGCCTCAGCATTCAAAATGTGGCCCGGGAATGGAGTTCTGGGAACTCGAAGACACGAAGTGGCCTACAGTTGGCTCCGGGCATTCAAAATCATGCCCGGGAATGGAGTTCTGGGAACTCGAAGAGCACGAAGTGGCCTACAGTTGGCTCCGGGCATCCAAAATGTGGCCCGGGAATGGAGTTCTGGGAACTCGAAGAGCACGAAGTGGCCTACAGTTGGCTCCGGGCATCCAAAATGTGGCCCGGGAATGGAGTTCTGGGAAGTCGAAGAGCACGAAGTGGCCTACAGTTGGCTCCGGGCATCCAAAATGTGGCCCGGGAATGGAGTTCTGGGAAATGGAAGAGCACGAAGTGGCCTACAGTTGCATCCGGCCCTCCAGAATGTGGCCTGGGAATGGAGTTCTGGGAAGTCGAAGAGCACGAAGTGTGTGACTGTTGGTGAAAAACGAGTTCGGCACAGGCCCGCCCGGCAACTCCCAACACCTGCCCGGACCCCCCTGTGGAGTGATCTGTGAGCTGTTTTTAGCCCACTAGAAACCTACCAGTCTTCGATGTTAGGTAAAAAGCAAGGCGCTCTGAGGAGATCGCACAATCGTTTCAAGGAATGCCCAGGGAAAAGTCCTCAGCGCAGTCGAATCAGATCCCGAGGGCGCCCCGCAAAGGGCCTCCAGAGGGTGCCAAAGAGCGGCTCCCAGAGAGCCCAAGGGAGGCCCCGGGACGGGGCACAGGAGAGATATCCCGAGATGCGTCGCGAGAGGGCCCGAAGATAGTTGCATATGGCGCCTCAAGGGAGCCCCAAGAAGCGCCCTCAGAAAGGCTGTAGAGGCTCTGATCTGCTAGGGTCCCAAGCGGAAGCCCAATAGTGCGTCTGAGAGGGTCCCAAGCGGAACCCCAATAGTACTCCACCGACGGCCTGAATGGGCGCGCTCGCGGGGGCCGCCCCCTTCACGCGGATCGTGCCTCACAGGGAGGTTAATGTGCCTATGCGCGCTAGCTCCGAATCCGGTCTGCCCCGCGGCGCGCACTTGCTCCTCTTGGAAGCCTCTTGGCGGTCTCCTGGCGGGTTCCTGGGGGTTTCCTGGGGGCCTCCGGAGGCGTCTTGGAAGCCTCGTGGGGCCCCTTGGGGGCCTCTTGGCGCCTCTCGCGGGCGTCGTGAGGGCCTCCTGGGGCCTCTTGGGGGCTTCAAGGGCCTCCTGGGGGCCTCGGGGTCCTCTTGAGGCTGGGGGCTCGAAATGTCAATTGGATTTCCCCATCTTGGGCTCCTCTTGGGGCCCTTTCAAAGCCCGTTCAAACCGTCTTGGGTGCCTCTTCGACTGTCTTCGGACCCTCTTTGGCCAGCTTGGCGCCCTCTGGGGGGCCTCTTGGGCCGTCTTCGGGCGATCTGAGGGGCCCCTGAGGTCGTCATGGACAGTACGAAGAGAAACAACAACAAAAAACGAATAGACTAAATACGTGCGCTTTACGAAAAAGGAATTGGGCTATGTTTGCATCTCAGAGCCTACTTGGGGACAAACTTGAAGGGTCCTGAAATGTCTTGGAGGCCTCTGGGGCCGTTGGAGACGGCCCATGAGCCGTCGGAGACCCCTGGATGCCGTCTTGAGAGTGATTCGCGGATGTCTTGGGCCGCCGTGACGCCCGTCGGACCGCTCTCTGGGGCATTTCGAGCACCCCGAAAGCGGGCCCGACCCCCGGGACCCACAATTGCGGTCGGGGCTGCGGCCCCGGCCCCACCCCTGGGCCGGTCCCCCGTTACATGTATATGATTAAATGAGTCATGCTGGATTGCATGAAATACTATACTAGATTAGGCTATATGACACATAACCACGCATGCATCCACAACGATGTATCGACCTCACGACGCGAAGAGTCACGCGTCAGACGTCTGGGTTTACACTGACATTGGACCTGGCCAAGCAAACGCTGGGCTCGGCATCGGTGGCAACGCCCGCCAGTATCCCCTCACATTGCCTGCTGACTGGATGCAGTGGGCAAGCCAGCGCGGCGGCCGCCCCTTGCAAACCGCGTGGAGAAGGACGAGAAGCACGAGAAGTGTCTTTTTTGTATGGCTCTCTTTCTGCTCTCTCACCTGGCCACAGCATCCACACCCCGTCCAGACCTTCGTCTACCTTCGTGCTCGAGACCCCCCACCCGACAAGTCCTGATCGGGACCCCCCGCATGCACCCCCCTGGACCCCCCACCTGGCCTCGGCAACCCCACCCTGTGGACCTCTGTTCTTGGGAGTCCAGACCCGACAACTCCTGTCGATTACGTTGTACACCCCCCGCCGACACCCTGGCCTCCTGGGACCTCCGATGCTCGGATCCCCGACTCGACAACACTTGGCTCCAAATCGACTACGCCCTAAACCCCCCGCCGACACCCTGGCCCCTTGGGGTTTGGGTCTGGGGACCTGGACCTGACAGCTCCTGGCTCTAAATCGACAGCGTTCCAGATCTCCCCGCCGACACCCTGGCCTCCTGGGGCATCCGTTCTTAGGACTCCTGACCCGGCAAGTCCTGGCTCCAAATCGACCGCGTTCTAGACCACCCCGCCGACGCTCTCCAAATCGACCACATTTCAAGCTCCCCCGCCGACACCCACCCTGGCCCCCTGGTGCCTCTGTTCATGGGACCCCCGACCCGACAAGTCCAAATTCCTAATCGAACACGTTCTAGACCTCTTCGTCGACACCCTGCCTCCATGGAGCCTTTGCTCTTGGGACCCCCGACCCGACAACTCATGGCTTCAAATCGACCACGTTCTAGACCCCCCCCATGACACCCTGGCCCCATAGTACCTCTGTTTTTGGAACCTCGACCCGAGGATTGCCGGCTCCAAATCGACCGCGTTCTACACACCCCCACCGACACCCTGGCCCCCTAGGGACCCCCGACCTGATAATTACAATAATAAACGCACACCACGGTCCAGACCCCCCCGCCAACCACCCCCTGGCCCCTCAGGGCCCCTGTTCCGACAGTTTTTGGCTCCAAATCGACCACGTTCTGCACCCCCCGCGGACACCCCAGCCCCCTGGGGCCTCTGTCCTTACGACCCCCGACCCGACAGCTCCTAGCTCCAAGTCGACCAAGTTGTAGACACCCCACGCTGACACCCTGGCTCCTTGGAGCATCTGTTCTTGAGACCCCAATCCGACAACTCCTGCCTCCAGGTCGACCACGTTCTAGACCCACGCCGACACGCTGGCCCCCTGGGGCAATTCTGTCCTTGAGACCCCCGACCCGACAATTCCTAGCTCCAAATCGACGAAGTTCCAGACCCCCCACCGACACCCTGGCTCAATGGGGCCTCTGTTCTTGGAACCCCGACCCGACCATCCCTAGCTACACATCGACCACGTCCTAGACCTCTCGCCGACACCCTGGCTGCCTGGAGCGTCTGTCATGGGGACCCCCGATCCGACAACTCCTGACTCCAAGTCGACTGCGTTCTAGACCCCCCCGCCGACACCCTGGTTCCCTGAGGCCTCTGGTTTTGGAATCCCCGACCCGAGAATCCCTAACTCCAAATCGACAACGTGCTAGACCCCCCGCCGACGGCGTGGCTCCCTTGGGCCACGTTCTTGGCACCCAGACACGACAGCTCCTGGCTCCGAATCGACCACGTTCTGAACCCTCCCGCCGGCCCCCCGGCTCCCTGGGCCACAAAATGGACAACGTTCTAAACCCCCCCGTCGACGCCCTCACCCCCTGCGGCTCCTGTCTGAAACCTCTGGCCCGACAATTCCTGGCTCCAAATCGACAAGGTTCTACACCTCCCCGCCAGCACCCCGGCACCCCTGCGGCCGTTGTTCTTGGGACCTCCGACGCAACCGACAATTCCTAACCGCCTCAGGTCTGAGCATCCATGGGCCCTGAATTGCGGTTATGTCCACGGGGGAGCTGGCTCGATCCCCGCGTGTTCACGAGCCCAAATGTGAAAGGATGTCTCAAGCAAAACGGGCTGGACCGCCTCAGGACAGCGGCGAGGATGTCTGAACCGAAGAGGGCTAGACCATCTCTCGCGAGGCATCTCGAAGCCCATGATTGAAAGGATGTCGCAAGCAGTCCCGGACTGGCCACCTCACAGGCGGCATCTCGAGGCCAAAATTGCGAAGATTGCTAACTTACCCTTGTTTTTCGTGGGGGACGGTTCTCTCTACTATCGTCGCTGGTTAAAGCGACTCGGACCCGAGGAAACTAGAGGCAAGGGCCACGCCTCACCTTCAAATCACACCCTGGAAAGGAAAAGGATAGGCGAGTCCGAGGTGGCTGGAGAAGGGAGGGGAGCCAGGATGACGACAGAGTGACACGATGAGGATCGATGAGACTGGCGCCCACAACCCCGCGAAGTCGTTCATGCGCGCGCACCACCATGAATTACATGATACTCGCTGGCAAAAGCGAATCGGACCCGAGGAAACTGGAGGCGAGGGCCACGCTTCGCCTCACGTTACATATCACCCAAATCACACCCCCAAAAATAGGAGCTCTTCTCACACCATACGGTACACGGACAGAACGGCCGACAAGACAGTAAAGCAAACAGCCGTCTGAATAGTGTCGGGGCCAGCTCGGAGGCGCGAGGCACGGCAACGTGTTTCTGATTACCATCGCGGGCCCGAACGGCTTGGCACCTGAGGCCAAGGCGGGTGGCGTCAGCTGACATCATATGGGCAATATAAACTGAGACGCTACAACGGTCACTGCCACCATGAAACACATTTGAATGGAAGAGAGTGAATATACTCTAAAAATTAAAAACAAGAAACTCGAGGCTGGGAAACGAGCTTCGACCTTATCACTGTTTGCCGAAAAGACAAGTCCAAACAGCTGGGATTCTCAACCGACGAATGTCTGATATCAGTCGGACAAGTCACGTCGCGATTGAATATGAGCTCATACCAAAAACGATCCCACGTTCTTTGCCTGCACGCATATCGCACACACGGAACGACGCAATGTCACTGATATACTGATTTGGGTGGCAAGGAACCCTGCTCCCAAGATTGCAGCATGCTGCATGAACCAACTGCCTATGACCACCACGGAATGCCGTTTCTCTTTCACAGGGGGTGAAAAGCAGGCTTTGGCCGCACAGGGCCGCGCGCCAAGATCCCCACGAAATTATCCTCGCAACGCTCGGCGCCAGCACGGAGCTTCACTGGGCGAGCCATCCAAATAAAGCTGAGCCGAACTCACTTCATGCATCGAAATTATGTTAGAGCGGCCCCCCAGCCACCCCGCCTCTTCAGACCTGCCAGGGCCCGCTGGCCGGCCGCCACGTCCGTGCCGGCGCCGCTGCGACAGGCCTGGTAGGTCACCAGGTTGAAGTCCAGAACCCGACTGACCTTCTGCATTGAAGCCGCAAGCTGAAGGCAGATGAACACCCAGGCCCTCGCGCCCTCGAAGATCGGCTGGATAGGGGACAGCATCGGCGCGACTCTCCCACCCGCTGCGGCCCGGCTCGATGGCGACGTCGAAATCCTTTGCCTTCGAGGGGGCCCCTCTATCTCCGGGCCCAGCTGAACGGCCACGTAGGTCGCGACGTGGCCGGGTGCATAGAGGCCCCCGGACCGCAGAGCCACCGGCTGGATCGGACGGGCGCAGGCGCTGAACATCAGGCAAAAGAACAAGTTAATGTCGTATCGAGATATCGCACAAGCTATTGTTCACTACGCCGAAGATGGGCCGCGCCTCTGACAGAAGCGAGGTCGACGGGAAGGACATTCTGCCACGCCTCCAGGGCCCGCCATCTGCGCCGCAGAGCGCGCGGCACGCTCTTCCGGGACCTCGGCTGGGCGAGCGCGACCCTGGCGAGCAGCTTCACCCCTCGAGGCGCCGAGACGCCTCGACGGATCTGGCGGCCCGTGCACTCCGCCAGCCGATCGTCGAGCGCGGCCAGCGGGATGTCGACCGCACAGCCGACTACCACGGAGCGGCTGAACTGGTGAACCTTCCGAGAGCACTCCGTCTCGGTCCGAGGCCGCGCGGCCGCGTGCTCTCTCAGCGCCAGGCGGGACAGCTCGTAGACGACAGGAGACTCCACCAGCTTCGCGAGGGCGCCCTTCCGCCCGCGCAAGGCCGCGCGGCGCCGCGAGGGCGGCACCGCGAGAGCAGCTCGAGACCTCAGCGAAACTCAATTCGCTCCTGACCAGCCCGCGAAACTGCTCGAGCAGCGCCACACCAACGCCGCCCGTCAAGTCCGGCAACTCCAGCGAACCGCCGGCGCCTCCAAGTCTCGGCGCACTCTCGCAGCCAGGGCGCGGGAAATGCGCGGCCGCGAGGCGATTGGGGGCCCGCCGCCGATAGCCTGGCGCTTCCTGGAAGGCCGGGGCCCCCGCGGGGCGCGACGAAGCACGGGCTCAAAGACGGACTGGCAACGCAATGGGGCTCGGCAGCGCGACACGAGGCCCCGGCCAAAATGCACGCGGAGGCTCGGCGAGGCGCAACAGAAAATGCTTCAGTTGTTTATTGTAAGGGCTCGTGGCTACACTAACTCGGACTACGCAGACTCCCGGACTCGCCAACCCAGGCAACGCGACGAGGCCCTCGGCAAGGCTATACTGGAGGCCCCCTCGGACCCAGGCTAGGCCAGCCTTCCATGCTTGCGCCCCGAAGAATCACGGGCACCGACTGTAGCAATGTAAACTAGCCGCGGGCCGCGGCCCCGTCGGGGCCGAGCGGGCCCCGGCGTTTCTCCGCGATTTCTAGGGTCTGTCCCAGAGTCAAGAGGGGCGTGCTTTAAGTGAGGGGATCGGCTAACATCGCCCTCGCTAGAGGGTCGCGAGCGAGGCGAGAGGAAGCGACAGCGGGGTTCTCTTCCGACGGAATCCACCGAGAAGACACGCGGATGTCGCGGCTGAGGCACCAGGCAGCCATCCTCCCCAGGATCACCTAAATCTCGAAACTGCAGCAGCGCCACCTGCCGACGGCGAGCGCGAGGCCGAGGTCGCCGGCAAAAAGCGCCCGCCGAATGTCGCACCCGAAGCGCGCGCGGCTGACCCGCTCCAGGCCCCGAAGAAGCGCCCGCGCCTCGAGCGCCATGACGCCCCCGACCTCGCTGCATCTCCACCCGCTGGCGACCGCCCAGGGCGCTTCCTCAGTCATGGAGCGCGGCGCCTCCTCGAAGCCGGGGTCAGACTGAAAGTCGTCGCGGCCCGGGCAAACCTCGACGCCCAGGCTCTCGGGGTGCCCCTGGTCGCCGTGACCTCCGAGGGCGGCCGCCCCGCCGGCCACGCGGCCCTCGGCCCGGCGGCGGCCTCGCTCGCGGCGACGGCCAACCGAGGCAACGTCCTCGGAGTCGAACCAGCGCGAGCAGATGCCGCACCCCCACTCCAAGGCGCCCGCTGCCACGACGCGCGGGCCTCAGTCCGACTCACAGCTCGAGACCAGCAGCGCCATGAGGCCCGCGAAGACGCGCAGCTCGTCGGCCACCGAGGGCCAGAGCGACAGGCTGGTCACAGTGCTTCCTGATTAAGGGGTAGACCGTCGAAAACACGATCAGAGTCTCGCAGCGCACCAGGCCAAAGAAGGCAACATGGCTGATCACGGCCTCCACTTGGCGGCTAGAGACTCGGCGGCGGGCCGCGAGAGCAGGTGGGCCCCATCGCACCCGCCAAAAACGTTTCGATGTCAGCCTCGCACGCTGGCGCCGACCACCCAGTAGCACCCAGAGCGCCACGACGCCCGCATCGGAAGTAGCCACCTCGCGCAGAGAGAGGCCCCTCGCCTCGAAAGTCGAAGTGACGTCGTCCAGTTTGAACGCCATGGACCCCCGAACACGCGAATGCTGCCCACGTAGATGTCGCGCCCGGTACTCGCGGCACCCTCGCCACGAAGCGCGAGCACCAACGGCTGACCACGATCGCGAAGGCGCCAAGGATAAGCCCCAGGAGAAGCCCGCAGGCAGGCACCTCGGAGCGCGCGCGATCCAAACGCAGGCGCCCACCTCGTAGCCCAGGGCCCGCGCGACGCCAACGTCGCCAGCACGGACCCGCGGCGAACAAGCCATCTCGATAGCAAAGATGGGAGACCTATTCCGTGAAAAGCATCCGTCTGCGGCCCCGCAGCACGCGGCCGAGCACACGCGTCCGCCACCCGTGTCCGCCACCTCGACGGCCCAAACCTTCGGCCGTCACGAGGTCGACGCGCGGCGGCAGCGCGAACCGTCGGTCGGTCCGCCGCGCGCCCAGGACGAGGCGAAGCCCCCCGTTTTTCTCGCGCACATTCAAAACCCATTCGCTCGCAAGCCCAGCCACCGAATCCCGGCATGTCCCTGGCCTTGAGGTCGCGGACGAAGCGGGCGCAGAGCGACGGGCTGCCGGCGAGCTGGGGGCCCACATAGCATCGCTCAGCCCCATCATCAGAGCAGTCACCAGCAGTCGGATCCAGCACGCGCTCTCCTGCGCCAACCAGATGAGAACGGCCACGGCCCCCCGCCAAGTCCAAGACGCCGGGCCCGCTGGCCCGCTTCTGAAGCAAGGAGGCCCGACCACGCTGGCACGGCGCGAGCGCAGTCGAAGCGGCATCCATCCTGCAGCCATATGCCTCGTCACAGAGCAATTCCCGAAGGGCCGCTTCTGGCGGCAAGCGAAAGTCACGACCGCTGCCACGCACTCGAAGGTCCGCCAAAGCCTCGACGCAAGCTAGATTCTCGCCCGCTCGAGAGAGGGCCCCCCGAAGGAAACCCCCCGACGGCAGGGCGGGAGCACCAGAACGACCTCGCAGACAAGGCGGTCGGCGACCATCAGTCTGCGCAAGCCGAGAAAATGCACGCGGCCCCCCCACCAGCAGTCGGACGCAATCCCGAGCACGGCGACGCGCACCACGTCGGCCGCCAGCAGCTGGGGCAGGTTCTCGCCGCGGACCAGCCAGCGGGAACTGCTCGAAAATAGCGGGGTGCCCAGGCGCCCGAAAATCCCCCGCCTCCATCAGACCGCAGCGTGGAGGGCCCCGTCCGCGGTCCGCAACCCTGCCCACTCATTCCTCGGGGCTGCGGTGGACCCCCCGCACCGCCTGCCCTCGACTGCCCCATCGCCGCCGCCGCGGCCCCAGCCGCCATCGACGGCCCCGCGGCCCCGCCTCCAGCGCTGGCGCCATCTGCGGGCCGCGCGCGAGTCGTCTCCATCCCGTTATGGTCCTTGAGCTTGTTGAGGCCCCACTAGTGCATGGGCGGGCGCGATGGCGCTGCCGCAGTTGGCCTCGCCGCCGTCGACGGCGGCCATTCGCCGCGTCGGCGCGCCGCCGCACGTCGAGCAGGCGTCGATCACACCCAGCACGCGGCGGACGATCCCCTCGACGCCCGCCGAAGCTATGAAATTGAGCTGGTCGCACCCGCCGAGCAGCTTGCAGCTCTCGGTGAGCGCGGTCATCTCGGGGCAAACTCGATCCGCCCTAGTTTTGTTGCTGCTGCGAGAGAACTCACGCCACCACCGACGCCAGAAAATCGCCGCCGCACAGCTCGGCGAGGCGAGCGAGGTGGGGGGCTACTAGCGGCCCCTGGATCTCAGCGGCGGTGATGGGTTCATCCACAATCTCCTGCGCAGACTTCTTCCTGGTCTTGAATATGTGGCCGACCTCGCCGAAGTCGACACACAGGGTGCGAATGTCGCCCCCGTGGGGGTCGGGCTTGACCCCAAAGCGCGATCGAAGGGCGGCGGCGCCCATGGGGGCGCCCAGGCCCGAGCGGCGGGCCTTGAGCTTGCCGACAAAATCGAAGCGGTCGAGGCGTCCTCGGCCGGCCTGCACTCGCAAGAGCATCTCGCGTCGGTGCACCCGTCAGACAGTCGAGGCCACCGCAATGTCGTCAGCTCGCAAGGGGACCACCACGCTGATGTTGAGCATCACCAGACCATCGCCTTGGTCGGCCCCCATCGCGACATCCTCATCATAGGAATCTCCGCCCGTAGTCAGAACCCACCAGGTCACAACGTTACCATCACCATCCCTTCGGCACTCCCCCTCAGCAACTCTTTCACGCCTGTTGCCCCGAGGCGAGCTGCACGGAGAGCAACGAGCGCCACTTTGCTGGACGCGCGCCCGTCGGATAAGGTGGACCAAGCACAACGCGAAGAGCCGCGCCAGACACGCAACGACAGCCGCAATCACGATCAGCATCTAGTCACGCTAGTACGCACTGAAACCGACGTCGCAGACACAGCCCTCGGACCTCACACGTCCGGCGATGTCCTCGACGACCCCAGGGCTCACGGCTGCCCCAGGAGAGCTCGCCTCCGACTTCGCGGCAGGCGCAGGCGGCAGCTCCACAGGAGGCTCTCGCTCGCAAAGAATGGCCGAGCAGCCGCCGCGCCACGGGCGCTCCGCGGCGTCGCGGAGAACGGACGTGAGAGAGGCCATGAAAATGCCGACCGCCGACTGCACGCTCCGAAATCTCTCGAGTCAGGATGACTACAGAGCGACACGATAAGGATCGACGAGACCGACGCCCGAAACCCCTCTTAAGCCATACACGCACACGCACCCCCATTCGCCGAAACAGACCCGGACGACCTTTCGCACGGGGCCTCCTCGCTCAAAATCCCACCCGCCTTCCGGGCAGGAGGCGGTCAATAGCGACTCCCTGTCCGACCCCCTTGTTCCCCTTCAGGGATGGGTTGATCGCTGCTTCTGAATAATACTTGCCCACTGGCCCAGCTGTCTCCACACCGACGGCGGCGACGGACGTCGACGCTGCTGTCTCTCGCCCAGGAGTCTGTCGGGGCGGGCCCCAGCATTGCCCGCAGCAACCACAGCCGATTCTGTCAGAGGATAGAAAGGGGGTGGGATGGAAGGGGGCGCAGGTAGCGCCTGCTCCGCTCTCTCACTGCAGATTCGAGCTGAGGCAAAGGACGCGGGAGCCGCGGCGACGACACGGGGCAGAGGCTGCCATTCCCACGGCCCCCCGAAAAGATGTGAGCCTGAACGGGACAACGGAGCGATCGCATCTCCAGCATCCACCCGCCCAACTTAAAACACAATTCTGAAAGGTGGCACTAATTAACAACAACGCATCGGGAAAATGGCCCTTGCCTTCACACGGACGCCCGACTCCCCACTGAAGACGCCATAAAACTCGGGCCGCCTCCTCCGACAGCGCCAAAACAATGAGCACTCGTCGGGGACAGAGGGGAGGGCGAAGCGCGGGCGCTCAAGATCGAGAGGCTCATAAGCTGCCTCTCGCTCTCTCTCTTTCCGCCGGGCGCCAGCGGCCAATGGCGCCCCCCGTCTTTCCGCGAAGGCCCTCGCCGGCCAATGGACGGGAGACTGGAATTGAAAACGGCGTTGGGGCGCCAAACGGCACTGAGTCCGCCGGGGAGGGCCGGAGGGGAGGAGAGAAAGGGAAAAAGGGAGATGGGAGACCGACGCGCCTAGCAGCTGCCACTTTGGATTCGGCCCAGGACCTGCTCTTGGACGCGGGACTGTCTCGCCTTGACTGGGCAATTTGATCCTCGGCCATTGAACGAGGCATGCCGGATCTGACTACGCGCAATAGAGCGGC